GGCCTAACGCGTTACTTAAGTTTGCTCACCAAGGTCAAGGTCAACGTGAGCTCAGATGAATGTGCTGGACCCTCAGTTCATGTCAGCTATGTCACTCAAGAAGTGTGCAAAGTTTCAGCTAATAAACAGAACAAATAACTTGAAACCTATGTGTTGTATTTTGTCAATCATTGTGTTGTAATAAAAATTCGCGTTTCTTTTGCACCTCAGTATATATTGAATTGAATGTTAATATATAAATATATATGCCAAAGAAATTGCTTTTCAGAATTTATTCATCTTGTGTCACTTTCACCAATCTAATGTTCTTTCTCCCCCCCCCCGTCTGTTTCAGGAAAAATGTTCCACATTGACTTTGGATTCATTCTTGGCCGAGACCCAAAAATCATGGCTCCTCCAATGAAACTGAACAAGCAAATGGTGGAAGCTATGGGTGGCAATGACTCTGAGCACTTCCAACGCTTCAAAGTGTTCACATACACCGCATTTTTGGCTTTGCGAAGGTCAGAGTTTATTAGAAAAATGATTAAAAGCAATTAGTATAGAATAAATGGGTGCATTTTTGTCAGTGACTTGATAATGAAATTAATTTGTAGAGCTGTATGTTCATAAGTACTGTCTCTCATTTCAAAATTATTGTTCTGGTGAGTTATAATTATTTTGAGTATATTAAAACTTTTACAATAAAGATTTGAAAGAGAATATATAGTGTAAGTTCAGTTGTTTATTTTCTTGTGCATTGACATGTGTCGTTGTGGAAGTAACCTGATGATACAATATCTGGGTGGTTGGCGGGTGCTCTGGTGTGGTTTGCTTCTTCTTTCCTATCAAACATTTATTGTCTTTATCTTCCCTCCTTCTTTTTGTGTTTGTTACTCTCTTGTAACACCTCTAATCTTCAGCACTGTTGTGATCTTATTGTGTTGCAAGTGCCGTAAAACACTTACTAAAACAAAACAAAATGGTACAAAACACTGCTGAGCACAGAGTAAATATAAGCTCTTGATTTGTATATTTGTCTGTTTTTATATCAATGTAGAAATATGTGGAAAAGATAATTTATTGTCCACTTGAGAAAATGATTTTATGTTGCAATGTTGCATGTTGTAACCGCTAATGTATAAACAATGTATGTTCATTCTTTTGTTGCATTGTTCTCTGCAGATCAGCCAATCTTTTCCTGAATTTGTTTTCTCTAATGGTGGACACAAGCATTCCTGACATTGCTCTGGAACCAGATAAAACTGTGAAAAAGGTAAACATTGGTTTTTCTCGACTAGTATAGCTGTTATTCTCTGTGAAAATATCTGTCTTCTTTGCTCTGTTGAATTACGTATATATATATACATATATAGTTTTTGTTCCTATTTTGATTTGTTAATTTCTGATAACGTCTAAAATAAAAATTTAGTCAGCCTTCCAGTGTAGGATGAGCAAACATTAAGTTAGAGTACTTGAAAGCTGACCACTGAAAAATTTTGCAGAATTGTTCTTCCTCCTTCAATGTCATCGGCTTTAAACTGTGTAGATTCTTATTTCACTGTCAGGTGGACTCTTGTCTTGTATTTCCACCATACCACTCTCATGCACACACTCACAAGCACAAGAGAAGAAGTTTGTTTTATTTAATTTGAAAACTTATTTATGTCTTATCTCGAACAGGTTCAAGAGAAGTTTATGCTTCACCTGAATGATGAGCAGGCTGTGCAGTACATACAGGGTCTCATTGATGAGAGCGTCAACGCTTTTATGCCCACTTTGATTGAGTATGGCCATAAAGTGGCACAGGTGGGTGTTGTACGATATATGACAAAAGATTTTACTCGGAAGTGTGAGAAAGACAGGAAATACTACTCTTTAGTATATTGGTCAGACAATTCTGGTGCTACCAAGTGTAATCAAACTGGAGAATACGTACAAGGACTTTTTGTTATTTTGGCATATATAGTGTCTCTAGATTTGCAATATTACTGATTTGAAGTTGGAGGTTTGTTAAAAACTCTCTCCCCCCACCCCCTCCCCTGTAAAGGTGTATTTGAGTAACAAGTTTTGTGTTTTGTCTCTAGTGCCACTGGTAATGGAATATATTTGAATTGCTTTATTTGTTACCCCTGAAGAAGTTGCATTTTCAAGAAAAATAGAAGCTGCTCAAACATACACCTGTCTATGAGGTTCCTTTTTCTCCTCAACAATAGGTGCTCATCTTGGACAATTCGACTGTAGTTCTTCAGAGATCTTTAGAGATGGTGACAATTTTTTGTTTGACAGGCATCATTCAAAAGCTCGTGATTATTGGTGTACACTTGTCATTGCTGACAAGTTTTCCTCTCCCCATCAACACTGTGTTGGTGATAGATTGGACAAGTTGTTTCTTGGTGTCAGTTTAAATGACATTTAAATAATCAAAACCTTGAATATCTAGAATTAGGGCTCATAGCATGCAGAATGACTTGCTTCATAGTGAGCGAGGGATTACACTCTTCTCCATTACGTAAAAAAGTTTCTTTTACTTTACCCTACAGTTAGTTTTTTCGTTGTATTAAAATATCTATACAGCATGTTTGATATCGGTACTCATTCATGTTAGCTTAATTATGTTCTCTCCATTATCCTAGAACGAACTGCCCATTGTTCCAGCATTATGAAAAATGACTTTTGTTAACAGACTTGATTGCTTACTCTGTTTCATGTTTTTTTTCTTCAGGCCCTCCGGAAATAGATGACAAGTACACAACGCCGCAGACAGCAGCCCTTACTCCTGGTTTACATTTGAGCAATACCTCATGTGTTTATTTTCACTCAGTCATTTCTTTACAATGTGGATGTGTTTCCAACATTGAAACAAACTTTATGGGAGGCAGCCATGTTGTTATTAATGCTATGCACTCAAGTCTTTGTCATTCCTTTATAAATGTGTTCTTTTGATTTTGATTGATATGACCTGCTGCTAGCAGAAAAGAGACATTAGTTGCTGAGAACGTAAGGGTCTACCTCTTCCTCCTGGTGAAATTTGGATTCATATTGTTTTGCTTTTTTTGTCCCTTCATCGTGTCTTCAATTGAAAGTGTTCATACTTTGTAAATAGAGTGTACTATGCTTACAATTACAAGTTTGCTGTGATCATTCAGCTCATTGTTCAGCAGCTTGAGCCTGTTTTTACAGGTAGCTATGTCTTTTTCTTAGGTTTTGTTTGTATTTGGCAGATTTCGGTGAGCCTTTCTCAACATATTACACCCTTACTCACCCAGGATTACACGAGAATTTCCCTACACATTCCACTCTAACTCTTAACTCTAACCGGCCGGAATCATCCGTTCTGACCTAGCGTCTGTAGAAACGAAGTCTTGCCTTGACTAGACTGGGTTGAGATTTAGTTTTATATAGTTATTGTAAAATGTTTCTCCTTCTGTTTGAGTTTGATATATAATATAAATGGAATTGAAAATTTTCTGACCAGTATTTCTAGTATTTAGAGCTGTTCAACGGGCGATCGCTTTTCTGACACTTTGACTATGACTTTGAGGGTGTCTTGACTTGTTGAAAAGCGACATAATTGAGCTTGAAAAAGCAAATAACGATGGATTTGAGCATGAACAAGCGCATGATGAAACAAATACTGATGAAAACATTGTAGCAGGAGTTGGGGGCGATCCAGATTAATAATCGGATGTAGAATCTAGATCTAGGGTTGGACCATGAGAGTGACAGGTTGTACACTCCAAGTGAAGTAAAGTTAGAACCATTTCCAAAAATCTGTGGATATTAAGTTATATTTTTTTTATAATACAGCATTAATTTCTTTCTCATTTTTTTATTTTTTTCAGAATTTTAAAGTATTTTCAACATGTGTCGTTTTTTCTAAATACTTGTATTCATGGGAAGTGAGTTACTTCTGCTTGCTTAGGATTTGGGAATAGACTTCCAGTCGAGACTTTTAGGGAGTAATGTTTTAAGCAGTTTTGTTTTTTTCTGAGAGCTTATCTTATGGCCTTTATAATTGTGTGTGTTTCTCATTGTCTATCTTATCTGAATTTGTTCTTTGTATTTTATGTAATTTCTTTTCATTTCACACATTAGTGCTTCTTGGTCTTCTCTCATTCTCTAAAAGTGGCCAGTGTGATGGGAATAAGCTCAACAAGTAGAATAGTTACTGCCTGAAAATTATCATCATGTTTTGTTACATGTTAAAGACTTGTATTTGCAAAAAATTTTATGAAATATTATTTCATTTTGTTTTACTCTGTATGTTGTGCGCATTGGAGATGATTATGCTTATACTTGAATTGTACCCAGTGGTCCGACTGAAGTATGACAGTGTGCTTGAAACTTGGAGGGAGGTAGGGATGTGCTTTGATCATTTGAAATGTTATGAAACATCTTTAAAAAAAATATTCATCTACATCAAAAACGTGCATTCATTTTTTTACCTTTTTCCTTGTTCCTTTATCCTTTGCATCTACTCCTCATAAAGTTTGATGCTTGTTTTTTTTAACAGGAAAAAATAATTTTTTGCCATCAGAAGAATAGTCAATCGATGTTGCTTGAAGTTTTATTTTTTTCCTTACATATAGAATCTTCCTTTAAAATGGTTTCAAGCAACCATAAAATGTTAAATATTTGCTGCTTGTCAAAAGTGTGTCAAACTGTTACAAGACATCTATCTTTCTTGCAAATGTGGGGACTGAGTGTTGTTTTTTTTTCTTTTCTTTATACCATCTGCATTTTTCCCCATTATATTTACCTTTCTCTGCATTCTAAAAAGCGTAGTGTATGTTCTTTCTTTGATAAATGGTACAGTAGTCTCTGCCTAAACGCACGGTGCTCGGGAGAGCTCCTTAGCGTGTGTTTATACGGAGCGTGCGTTTACATGAACCTTTGCAAAGGGAGGAAGGGACGCAGTCATCTCAATTCGTTATTACTCTAGTGACCTCCCTTGGAGGGAGTCATTTTGGCAGATATTGTGACGACATGTGACTGTTTTGTCTTGTGAAGGATTCCCCGAGAGGGGTTAAGAATACAAAGGCGTTGAATGGCGGGGTGGGGGGGGGCGGGAGAAAAAGTCAATGTAAACGTCGGGAACAGATAGCCTAAGAGGTCATAGTCATAGAGACGACGGACCGGCCACTTGGCTTTCCAAGCGACTGCCCCCCCGACCGTAAATTGATGCAGAATCATCCTCGAGAAACATTTTCTCTTGTGATTTGTTGAACAAGTACGTTATAAGTTCTTTGAGTGAAGCTGATTGGGCTTACTTTGGTAATCTTCAAAATCCTATAGAGGCCTATCTAGTGTTTTACGGCTTTCGCGCGTCGTGCATCAGGTCTAGATTTAACTAAACATTAGTAAACATTACACGCAGTCACTCAAACACCAGTCAGAAACCTTCTCTCAAAGATACATTTCCGTGACCAATCAAAAAACATTTTAGTCCCCTCCCAACATTTAACCGACCAACCCTAGACCGAGACTTATGCGTCAGTGGAAAGTAGGGTGTGTAAACGCAGTCCATCACTCTCTATGTACGGCGTGAGGGGCACTCTCACCAAATATCAGGTTTTCTAGTAAATTCTAGGCTTGTCTTATGCAGGCTGCGCAGGTTGTAGTGAAAATTTCCCCTTGTCAAGCTTAACTTGTCAGCGTGTTTTGCGGATCGGAACGTGCATTTAGAGGGGGTGACCGTGCGTTTGTACGTCTAAATTATATCTTTAAAAACCCGTCAGATGACGAAAGCGTGCGTTTGAGCGGAGCGTGCTTTTGTATGGCGTGCGTTTAAGTGGAGACTACTGTACCACTGACCAGTGTCTCTTTCCTCGAGTGTAATAATAGTAATAGGCTAATGTTTGCTGATGAGTGATATAATTGTGAGAGAGAACAGCTTCTTATACATTCTTCGAGTTATGGGCAGTAGGTGGCTGCTGTTGTATAGTCTTCTGCTCGTACCTATTTTCACAGTCGCCATCATCATGATCTCTTTATATTGATATGTGGTTGTTGAAATATGGTCACACATGATAGAACAACTACAGTCAAACCTGTGTAAGACGGCCACCCATTGTCAAGGAGAAAAGTGGCCGCATAAGACAGGTGGCCGTCTTAGGCAGGACTGATCAAGATAAAGAAAACAAACCATTCCCATCTGAGGCCCCAATCGAAAAAAGCCGCATTGTTGTTGTCTTTGTTGGTGTTGTTGCTGTTGGTTTGTATTTCGTTTGTAATTTTTATTTTGTCGCTGATTTTGCACAATGGTGACAACAAAACGAAATGTATCAGACAAGGAAGACCGAGTGCCATGTTAAAACAAACACATGGGTCGCCACCACTCGGAGAACAAGGGACGCTTCTGTAACAAGTTCATGTTGACGTCCTTTGTTACTTTGTTACAGACTGGGTAAACAGTAACCACTCATCTCACTTACGATTTGTGTATGAGTTCCGGGCGGGGCTCATGGGTTATGAGGGATCACACGCTAACTCACCTGCAGCTGAAAATTGGTAGCTATTGGTCAACAGTGGGAGGGGCCTACGCAACATGATCGGTTGGAGGGACTACCTAACAACAAGGACAGGTGATTGAATTATGACGGCTCGCCCACAACGCCAGGGGCCAATGCACAATTTATGACAAAACGTAATGGATTCACTAAGGTGACCGTCTTAGACAGGTATTATTGCTTAGTATTATAGGGGTTGTGTGTTAATTTTTTGTGGCCGCGGTCGCGTTGGACAGGTGCCCGTTTTACACAGTCAAATTATATAGAAAAAACGCAAGGGGGGAAATGGAAAGTGGCCGTTTGTACAGGTGGCCGTCTTATAGAGGTGGCCGTCAGGGCAGGTTTGACTGTATATGATATAACTTTTTTCTCTAAGGACTTTTTATGAGCACTCCTGAGACTGGCTTGGCCCGGAAGGGTACTAGGAAATACCCTTTGATCTCATTAAATGCTTTTTTGTGTATTCAAAGGAATGCCTAGACTTTGAGCACAGTTCTGTAAAGAATACTTTTGATTCAAACAAGCCTTTTATGAAATGTCTGGGTTTTTCATTTTTCCAGTAATGCAAGTTTTAAAATCTTAATTCATTCTTTTGTACATGAATGTGGCCAGACTCTATTTTCTTGTTTTGCAGAACAAAATAGTCGATGCTTTATTATTATAGATATATTTTCCTTCTTTTACTTTTCTACAAAATTTAGTCTTCTCCAAGTAATTATAACTCGCAATTTGTTTGAAGTCATGGAAAGTGTAAACGATTGGGGTCCTTTTTTTCCATCCATGGAACATGTTTGATTCACAAGTACATTTCACGCTGGACCTCAGTTGGAAGTGTTGTGGTCTGGTCTGATCAGCCTTTATTACGGTACTAATTGTCCTGGTATTTGTCCTATTTGCTTTTATGTAGGCCTACATGTTGAAGGAGAAAAAGAATCAAGACCTCTTTTCACGTCTTCAGTGTTAAGGGCGAAAGGTCTTTTTAAAAAGTGAAGTAAACTTTGTAAAGGAGCCTTACAATTTCCAGTCTTAGCTTCCTGGATCAAATCGTCTTCCATTCTTCCGAATTCCTTCATATAAGTCTTGTATTAACCGCATCACTTGTGTTTTGGCTGGAAAGTGTGCCATTTCTTTTCACATGTATTTTCATCTTGTAAAGCTTTTATTACTTTGATGATAAATCTTTGTAAGTACAGTCGTGCTAAGTAGAGGGTAGTAGATGGACAGCTACATGTTCTTGGTGCTTTTTGAACACTAAAATTAAAAGAATTCCCTCTACATTGTGAAGACTGGTCTATTTTATTCATCTTGAAACTATTTCCTGTTTACTGAAAAGAATTATTTGTTTGTCAGCTAGTTTGAAAACGTGATTGTACCCTAAGGATGTTTTTCATAATATAAGGTGTGAAGCTTGACAGTTATATAATAGATATATCTGGATTCAAAGAGTTAAAAATGTGAATATTTGTCCCAGTCTTTGTATGCTTGACATATATAGTCTTTTATTTCAATTCTGATGTTTGAAAATATGTTCATTTTATTTCCAGCGTACCAGTATTATGGGCTTTCATAATATGTGAAATGTGTTCTTCTGGGTATGTGTGCAGGAGAATCTTTTAGGGATTCTAATAAGGGGACTTAATCAATGGGTAGTAATAAAAATTCTAATCAGTCTTTACTACCTATTGGATATTGCCCATTTACTAGAATCATCAAGAAATCCTCACAAAATGTGCAATGAGAATGTAAAGTATGTGACAGAAGAAAGGAGGTGAAAGTTCTTGTAAATGTTATGATAATGGTATGCGCATAAAGAATAAAATAGCGAGATTATATTTATTGGACTTTTGATGTCAATATTTTGTCTGCCTTGGTTCATTGTAGTTCTTTCTACTGTGTCTTTGTTGATAATACTGTTCAGGGAAATACAAGAGTTGATGAAGAGCCGTCACTCTGTTATGGGACTTTCCTAGTAGTATAATTTAGCAGTTGTTTTGCTCAAAGGGTGAATGTGAGAACACACCTTAGAGGTCCCTGTGTTCCACATTGCCTCCTCACCCTGAGGCTTCTCTATGTTTTTAAAATAACCATTACTCTTGATTTAATAAGAAATCTTATCAGTATTTCTTTATTTCTGGGCAAGGATTCATTCAGAACATTGTGCCAGTAGACTGCCATGGCGTGCTTTTCTTCATTTTTGGTCGTCAAGCTTCATACAGCACCTCTGAGTTAATCATCCTTATCTGAGAGGACAAGGCACTTTATTCTACCTTCCCCGAGATCAAGAGTGAGAAAAACATAAGAAAATATCCAAAACTATCCACTGACCTTGTCAATGTCTGCACAAACCAGGCATTGAACCAGGTGCTCTGGCATAAGCAAAAGCGATTCGTCTAGACTTGTCATTGATCTTTCTCTGAGATGCAAGCTCATCCCACTGACAAGATTTTGAGAGACTCTACATGTATGCACCCCTTCTCATCTGATCAAATCCTAAGTGGGTCTGAGGCACAACCGGTTTTGGATTTGATGAAGACATGAATCCAAAGTGTGGAATCCTTATTCCTTTCACCCCCGTTTCCAAATTTTTTTTCTCTCACCAGTGTCCAATAAGGGGGGGTTACCCGTTAAGTGTCCCCTTTTTGTTTTGGTAAGTGTTTCACGGCGCTCGCTACTGCACAAGGTCATATGAGCGCATGGGACACATTAAACATTTTTCAGTTGGTAGGAAATTTTAAATTTTGCCAGGGTGGCGGCCGAAGCCTCCTCTTATCGATTTTAGACCCACCAAGGGATCTTTAACAAGCGCAACTTGCACAAGGACCCTCCGAGATTTTTCCCCCTTGTCCGAGAAGGCTAGGAGTAGACCTTTCTTACCAGAAGATCAGGGGTGTGACTGAAAGACAGCAGTAAGAAGGAGCCAAGGAGTAGCAGTAGAAAGGCTGCAGAAAGAGTAAGGAGCCCAGAGGAGGGGCCAAAGGAGGTGAGGGGATGGGGGCAGAAAGAGGAGACCTCGAAAGCAGATGACAGAACATTGCTAGAGAGCAGAAAAGGAGGTGAAAGGAGACAATTTTAGATTTTAAAAATTTTTCTGTTGCTACCCGGATTCGAACCCTGGACCTTTGAATGAGAGGCCAACACCTTAACCTCTAGGCCACGAGAGCCCCTAAGTGTCTCCATTGTGTCCTCACAAAAGTAAATGGAAAGTAAAGGAAAATTAAAATAAAACTCAGACAGGTAAATATTATCCTTTAATTTTCTGTGTGGATTGTACATGATCACAAAATTTTCCATTAAAAAATAACAAAACAAAAGGAATAAGCAATGGACTCTTTTACAATTATAAGCAAGGCTGTACAAAAAAAATGGCTCACTCCTTATACCTAGGCAGAGCTAAATATCTGAACTATTCATGCAAAGATGGAAAAAAATCCTCAATTTATCTAACAGTCTGTGGCATTTTCTCTCCCTATCTTATTCTTATTCACAGACATATATATAGAATCTATAATATATTCTGTCAATATTTGCTGTTATGTACATTGCATTTGAGCTTTCTAAAGGAATAAACAGCATGAAGTGCATTTATAAAATACATTGCAATTTTTTAACAGGGGGAGAAATATTTAATTGGCTAAACAAAAGCAAAAGTCAAGTATGGTACAACATCAGCTAAAGCATAATTACAACTCCTTTTCTTTCTCTCTCCCACAGAATGTATGATGCAAAAACAAATTGTCTCTCTCCTGCAGACACATGATGCAAAAGCAAATTGTCTCTCTCGCACAAACCTGTATGATGCAAAAACAAATCGTCTCTCTCGCACAAACCTGTATGATGCAAAAACAAATTGCCTCTTGCCCATATGCAATAAACAAATCTCCCCCACAGAAACATATTAAGCAAAAACAAATTCTCTTTCTCCCATACATAGTTTGTACATTCACTCGGTCTGTTGCTCAATGATCAATATATTACAATTACAAGCATAAGTCTTGGAAATACCATTCTCTTTGAACTCGCTATTCAAAGCTTATATATTCATGTTTAAAAAGTCCAACTGGTTTAAATTCTCTAAAGATATATTTCACTGATGACAGTAAGTTTTTAAATTTCATTTTACATCATTTGGAATTAGCTATATACTAGTTAGTTCAGGGCAGTAGGTGGTTGGCAGATGCTCAAGTGTGGTCTGCTCTTTTCTATCGAACATTTATCGTCATTATCTCTCTTCTTTTTTTGTGTTTGTTACTCTCTTGTAACACCTCTAATCTTCGGTACTTATACCAGATGAAACGAACAGGGCAAAAAATCTCACAAACATGTTCTGATGCTTCTGTGTAAAATGGGAGAAAATCCATGATTGAATCAATCTCGAGAGCAATACAAACACACTCCACGTAGAGTGCCTTAAACAGAAATGGCAAGATGATCCTCATTCAAATCCAAAACAGCCCATTTTTTAACTTGGGTCGTTTCATGAATTTTTTAAGGTTCACAACTCACTTGACTTATCTCAGTCCTGGAATTTTGGAATGTAGATTTGGAGTTTCTGCCTCTTTAAAAATTTGTTGTATTTATAGTGGTGTCAAACATGTTTGCAACTGTTGTCTTTGGCACACCTTAAGAAACAGTTTGTCTACAGATAACTTAGTAACCATCAACTAAGTTTAGTTGCTGTAAGGTGGATCCTTGGTCTTAGCGTCCTGACTTCTCCATTATATCACCCAGCAGACTTTGGCTACTAACAATGGCTGTTGTGGCAACAATGATCCGCACTCCTGTTGAAGAAAATTTTCAAGAAAAATTTGTTTCTCTTCATTAAAAAAAGCCAATATTATCGCATGGTACTTGGAAATCTATAAATTTAAAGGTTATTTTGTTCAGCTGAGCTGTGAATCGATGATGAAAGCTTTGATACAACTAAAGAAAGCAATCCATGTGAACCATGGAAAGTATTCCTCTGTCCACAAAAAATGCTGCCAACTATAAAAGTGTATCCCTCTCTTTACATATTGCCAAAATTTATCTCTTTTTAAGCACTTTCATTAAGTGAAACGGTGAATACTACACTTCATTTCTTCCACTTCAGCAGGGAATGTAACATAAACTACTCACAGATTTTCTCAGAAATTTTTTATGAGTGTTTGTCCATTGACACAAGAAAATTATCCAAATAGCTTACATCCATTCTATTTAACTCAATTACTCACAAGAGATGGATAATAAATTATAGATTTGATCATTCACATCTCTCTGGGGTCATGTGAAAAAGCACTGAATTTCTAAACACTTTAAATTCAAACATACAAAGGCTTTTTGAGATCTCAGATCCAAAAAAGCACAATTTGAGACGAAAGTCAATAAAAGGAGGACTTTTGAAATAATTAAACATTTTTTTTCAAATGCACATGAATATATTTTGAATCTAAAGTCTTCAGCACCCATAAATATGTTTATGGAAACAACGTGAAGAAAGTCATAAAATTGTATTGCCATGTCTTACCAAGTTGTCTCGAGATGAAACGGAGTGCAGAGATTTCACTGTAGGTACAGCCACCCAGGAAGTACACAAGGGCCACTTTCATAACAGGGTCAGTCGGAGCACCAGACCTACCTGTAGATACAGACCATGCACAATAGAAGGCTATAGCTTATCCCATTCAGCTTCAGCATTTCTGTACATTGACATCAGGGCCTCAATTTAGAGTAGGTAGCGTAAACACGGCCTCACGGGCACTCGCGGCCTTCTGAGCGTGTGGTATTGGTGAAGTCGGTGTAACTCAGATAGCTGTTTCTTTGCTCTTTAGCTATAAAACACCAAATGCTGTATACCAGGTAAAAGTTTGCTTTTCCTCGTTACATAGGTGGAAGTTGTTTATATGTCAGATTATTAGGAGCTAGAGAATTGACGAGGAAAGCGAAGCCCCAGGCAATTGGAATGTGTAGTCGGCCGGTTCAAAAATAAACACGCGAGCATTCAAATGCTCTGCGGAAAGATTGATGATTAAAAACCGTCTTTTTATTGGCGGAGAACTGTAGAGCTTTGAAAAGGCTTTCCCTTGGTATATTTTTTGGCCTTTGGCGTTTAAATAGAAAGCCTTTAAAAATACTGTCAAAGTTTTCAAAGATAATTTTTCACACGAAGTAAGTAAAATACCGGCCCAAAAAAGGTACCAATAGAAAGATCTGTTCATTTCTCTTAGAATAAAGTAATCAGCTTGGAATTATTTTGCATCTATCCTTCTGCGAAACTCGGAAAGCATGTGACCCCCCCATGCGGGAAGCACTTGGTACACTATAGTATAGAGCCGACTTGCTCGCCGCGAGAGGCTGGTGCAGTCACAGCCGGGTCAGCGTTCGGTATTTTTGTCGAAATAACGACAGATCATCCTGTTTGAAGCTATAAAATACTGATTTCTAATGATCTTACAGTCTTGAAAAAAGTAGGCTTCATATCTATGTTATAGTGATTGTACTCTGTTAAGGTGGAGATGTTTGGTGCACTTGGTACTCTTTTATTACCTGTCAAACAAGGGGTTGCAGCCAGTTAGTGACTTTAGCAAATTTGATCAAATTTTAAACAGCTAACATTTTCTAAAATAATTGACTGAGAGGCTAAAGAATGACACCAAAATGCTCAGGAGATATAGGCCTTTCATATGGAACAGATACATTTGGCATTCAGCTACTTTGAAAATTTAGTTTCTGGTACCTGTCCAGAGAGCCTGGCCTCGATCATGTGCTTCGGGCGCAGGAAGACATTATTTGGTAAGACTAAGAGACATCATTATCAAAACTTTCTTTTTCAAAAGTGTAAAGTGAAAACTTAGAGAAATATACACACTCAGACATTGATATTCAATTTGAAATTAAATTTACCAGATGCTTTCCTTACTGATGTTAAGTAATTCACAGTTTTTTTATGCATTGCACTACCTTAGACTGATGTATTCCATTTCCAGACTTTTCACAAAACAAAAAGCCATTTCATCTAAAAACAGAATGATGGAGAATTATTTGGGCAGAATGGTATCTTTTTTTAAATCTCAAAGAAAGAAAATCAGTAACATCTTGAATCTAATTTTTTTAAAACTTACCAGAAGCTGGTTGCTTCTTTTGTTTGATGTCAGAGAACAGACCACCACATAATCTTCCAACTTCTTCCAGACCAACGAGGGTATCTCTTGTCAGGATCTGAGGCAATAAATGAAGTCAATGTCTCCCTGCCCTGGCAAAGTCTGGTAGATTTGCACATTTATTAAGAACCATAACAAATTTTGAATTTGTTTTTACTTTCACATTGTCAGGCTCTTGTATGACTCTCTTTGGTGTGAAAAAAAATATGAGGTGAAAATAAATGGATTTGAGGATTAAACAAGCTCATTTGACTCACAATACAGCTCAGCAGAGTTGATACAGAGCAAAAGGATGTAGTGAACTTGACAAGTTTTAAAATAAAATAAACTAGTTGACAATAATGCAATAAAAAATATGTTACACTGTAAAAATTGTATATGATTCATTCAAAGGTGATAACTAGAACTAAGATAAGATAAGATGCCCTTGAGAATGGAAAGAAATGAACAATTAGAAAAAGAAGCTATGACAAAGTGCAAAAAGTCACTCTCACCTGCTCAATCAGCTTGCATGAGATAGGAGTGTATGCACCACTGAATATGTAGGACATGTCTGTTGGAGTCTTCAGATCAGTCTCCTCCCCTTGCTTGGGGACCAACGCCAGCCGACGGTTCAACATGCGGTAGTTGGACTTTTTGCCCAATGATGGTCCTGCTCGATTCCCAACTCCACCCACCTCCTGCACGGTCAGGAGGCCTAGTCTCTTTAGGCTCAGGAATGTTACCAGGTGCTCAAATCCATGACTCTAAGAAAAAAACATTGGCAAAACATAAATATGACAAAAATAATTAAAGGAAAAAGCACTGATCAGATAATCTTCTTTCAGAAAAGTAAGTACAAATTCAAATCTAAGGTAAAAAAAAAAAAGACAGCATGAAAATCAGAATTGTAAGTACAAATTCAAATCTGACAGCTTGAGAAGATTTTTTAAAGAAATGGTAATGAAAATGTTTTCTTACTTTCAATTTTACTTATTTCGCAGTGGATGAAGTAGCATATGACTTCATGTTTAAACTATACTTCTTTTTTTCCCCCCAATAAAATGTTTAAAAAAAACCCACCTAATGGTTAAAAAATTCAACTAAATTTGTGAAAGACAATAATATCATCGAGCTCTTACATGCAAAAACTGGGTAGTGAGATTTTTGTAGTCACGAGCACTCAAACCTTCTTGTGTAAGTGAAAGAAGGCACATCAGTCGAAGTGTAAGTGTTGGAGAAAACTGAAATAAAGAATTGTAGCGTTAATGCACACAAGACAAGATCATTTGGAAGTCACCAACCACGGTAGCGTTAATGTACATAACACAAGAAAGCAACGACAACAGTTAGGGTTCCGACTTACTCTTCACAAATCAGTTCTCTAAAACACATTACACGAACTCGTACTTCAGTATAGCCGATCAGAGCTGTAACTGTAAGGTAGTTGCTCTCTAATCAGGACTTCACCAAACTGACTCTTTTCCTTGTGTGCAGCTGGTCAACAGTCAATAGTTCAAGGAGGAAAAAAGGTCCCTAAACTCGGACAGTCATGAGGAATGTAAAAGCTCACCACAGATTGGTAAAAACATATCCCAGGGCCATGATAAATTACACGACTAGAGCACAACCATTCAATTAAGTCACATTTTACAGCATTGCTAATCTATAGATAATACATTGACAATTGTAACCCAGAAAGTCATCAAATCGTACACAATTTAAGCTTTTTAACTTATGAAATGTTTTCAAATTTAAAAAATCGCAGAGTTTTCACGACCAAATAAGTCTTACATGAAAACAACCAGTGTAAACCATGTCAATAACATTTTATTCTCATACATATCTCTTCTAATGGAAATCTACAACTTCAACACAATTTTCTTGGCAGGTCAGTTTACCATCTCAATCCCTAAGGGTCAGCAGTTTAATTCATAGTTTACTGGACATTCATTGAAGTTATCACTCCTAAAAGAATTCGTTAGGCAAAGAAAGAAGAAATTTTGACCAACGTACCTGTTTCTGGAGACATTCCTCTATATAATTCAGGTTTTCCTTTGTATCTGTACCTTCTAATAAACCTGCAAAAGTGAAAATTTAACTATAAAAAAAAACTGAACAAAAATATCTTTTTAAAGCAGAGCACTGACTCTCTTCATTGGATCTAATAGCTTGTGCACAATCTGAACAGTCCCATAAAATAAGGTAGTCCAAAAACAGTGCATAAGCCGCCTTGCCGCCTTCTGAGCGCATGGTTTTGGTGAAATCGAGGTACTACAGCCAAAATGAAATATTCTTTTTATTACATGGCATACTTTCACGAAAAATGTTTATAATCTGAATTCCAGATAAAAATGAGGAATATATCTGAAGTTGACGAAACTATTGCAATAATTCAATATCAATCTTTAGTCTTAGAACTTTTAACACACTACAATATTTTAAACGGTCAAAGCATACCATGCTACATATGTGATAAACTGAGACAAACTACAAAAAATAACTAATGAACTCCACATTATATCACTGCCGAAAAGAAACGAAGAAAATAAGCCAACTTACTGTGTTCTGTCCTTATGAAGCTTTCAAAATCAGATTTGTTCTTGGTCTTCATTATCACCTCACAAGCTCCTATGTCTGTGAAACACACAAACGCCATAATTATTAAGCAAAAAGAATACTTTGAAATATTTCTCATGTTCACAAACACTCATAAACATTCAACATACTTTTCTCATAATGTTGAAAAAGTTAAAGTGTAAAGTGTTAACTTCAATTCTTGAATTCCTTCCATAAGAAAATCTCGGAGACCTTCACAATAACTCCTTGGCAAGTGAGTTTATTTAAATTTACCATTTCAGACACTAGAGGATTTAAGAAGAGGCAACATGAAAGAAGCTGTATGTTTGCTTTGCTGCTTATTGAACAATCTCAAATCCTGCTCACGTTTTTCTTTCTTCTTTTGGTTTCTCTCCCCGATTCTAAATACTTGTGTCAGTTATTTTGTCCAACAAGAAACGGCCTTGAAACAAGGAGTGGACCCGGGTCAGGGTCCCTCTACTCAAGACACAAGCAAGAATACCGATGCTGAAGCTGATCCTACAGTACTAATGGAACGTACGTGTGGCTAGCAATTTCTGTTGATGCTTCAGCACTCGCAGCTCATTGGCGACATATTCCTTCATGTCTCCGACTGTCTTCAAGTTGTTCTTTTTCTGCAGAAGAAATAAGTAACAAATCTTACTTTTAGGATATCTTATTGCCTAGATAGAAAGCATTTTTACTATATAAAGCTGATACAAGGTTTTACTTCACATGATGCACTTGCTGGATTTCTCAACTTTTAGAGCTCAAGACCCACTTCTGGTTGTCAAACATTTTCTAAGGATCACCTTCCCAAACAAAGGAAGAACAGAATAAATGTGAAGTCTAGCAAGACATTGGAACTTTGCAGGATGATCTGCTTCCCACCTAACCAATGTTTTACAGAGTATAATTCGAAAAAATGGGAAATCAGAGGCTATTAGATGAGGCCTTTTTATTATGAAGAGACTTGCTGTTAACTGAAGACAACCTCTTGTTGGATTCGGTTGTAATATAGTGATAAATAGGGCTGACACAACATTGTCCACCACAGAATGACATTGACAGTATAAACTTTACAATATTTTAATTCTGTCCAAACAGAAAATCAATGTTAAGTGATAAAACTGTGAAACAGATATATGACAAACTGAGTAAACAGAATTCCTTCACACTTTAACAATTATACTGTACCCAAGCAAGGTTATTTTAGATGCTATTGTACTCTGTTTCTCAATTAAACAGTATTTGCAATAATACTTAATAAGCTGACTTTTTTTCTGAGAGCAAATTGACATTTCAAAAGTAAATTTGCAATATGTACCAACTTTGAAACATCTTCATACGAACAAAATAAATACAAGATTTAAACTCGCCAGCTTTATATAACATGATGAATATAAAGGAGTATAAACATTTCAGCCAGTTTGGCAATTCTTATCGAATTTTTGTTTTTTGGGTCAACACCTTTTACATCCATACAACAACACTTTATGTGTGAACTTTACAGCAAAACGCTCATTATAGGCACAAAATATGTAAATTTTAAGTTTAAATGACTTTCAAGCTTTTGAAGTTACCAGATTTTGGTGGCCATTTTCTCGCTGATTTAACTTCCGAAACCAGATGACCCCCACCTTCTTTAATCGCAAACATCCTGACTTCTATTCAAGATAGATGGGTTTTTCTTTCATCAAAAGTAAGACAAATAAACAAGCTTTAAGATGATACCAATAACTCCACATGCCCAAAAACGGACGAGCGCCTGATTCCACCGCATCGTAGCACAAATGTAAAACTTACACTGTAAATAGCTTGAAGGTCTTTGGCTTTTGCACTCAGATAAGAAAATACATGAGCAAAGTGCCGGTCACGAATCTGGCTGTAAATCTGTTTTAAAAAAAGAAGGAAAAAAGTTGGCAGTGTCCGGTCTGGCAGAAAATCTACATAAGCAAAACAGAATACAAAACTATACTAATAAGTTTACACAGCAACATATTCCATATTATTGGGAGATAAACTTTCAAAGCAATATATTGCTAGTCTTGTAATTTCTAGACATTATTACTTGAACTGAACAAAGAAAGACATTTAAAACTTGTGTACTTTAGTAAAATGTTCTCATTAACAATTTTCAGTTCCACAAAATCATCCAATACAAAAAAAGCGCAATATGAATAGCTAAAACAATTTCTTTGTTCAATTTTAAGCATACTGCAAAGTCAGCAGCTGACCCTTAAATATTAAAAGAAGTATTCATCTAAATTCATCAAAATAACTCACAAAAAGAATAAAGAATAAAAAAGCTGCAGGAAAAAACATTAAGGTCTCTGAATTATAACATGTTAACTGAAGTTTACAGCATTTCAATGAAATAACATGCATCGAGAAAGGAAAACAGTTCTTAGACATTTGAATCATTTAAGCAAAGACAGAACTGATTTCAAGTAGACTTCATGGATGAAGAGATAAGCGTTTAGGATAAGAAAGAACATTAGCAGTTGAAAGTAAAAAACGAGCAGGATGGTTACAGCAGTCTAAATTATTAACCCCAAACTAAAGAATCTCTCGTCTAAGTAAACAAGAGCACCTTTAAAAATAGAGTAAAGCTGTGTGGAAGGTGACAGACACTACATTTTTTTACGGGGAAAAACAGCCATCTACACTTCTGGTGTAGCATCTCCAGGTGGGATAGTCTTGTGCTCATATAATACATAAATGAAAAAACGCAAGAGGTCTAGCATGGGCTTTTGCCAAATCTAAAGTCTACATAACCCTTCAGTCATTTTTCATCTTGTAATGGAGACTAAACTGGGTAAGACTCACCTCATCCTGACTTGTGAGCAACAACTTCGTGTCTTTGTTGTCACCCGTCACAGAGGAGTCAAAGTTTATCATACCTGTTCATGAATATCAATATGTTCCACTTATATCATTTAACTGACATAGATAAATGTAACATATAACAGTAGGATATAGACATACAAATCATTTGAATATAAATGTGTTTTCAGACTCTTAGAAATACAGCATAATCTGAATAGGTCGAACACACATTACTTGAAATCACGCATTCGTTGAACAGTGCCTGTGGTGCCGTTTTCTTTTCCTTCTTTATCTTTGTAAGAAAATTACGCGAAGCTCAAACATAAACATGGAATAGTCGAACTAATCATGCTGCTGTAGAGGTCTAAAGTTAATGTCCTTTGAGGGGCACTTGAGGCAAAATAATAATAATAGTTAAAACAGAAAAAGGCAAGCAGCTCGCTAAGTTATTTTTAGAAGGCTGCTTGACACACATGCCCTCTGCGTGTGCCTAGGTCCTAGGCCTAGCTAGGCTTGAGAGGAGCAGGCGAAAGAAGGGGTTGCGCATCACATGATTGGCCGCCCCATCCCTCTGAGCAAAGGATTGCGCGCTTGGTGGGAGAGGCCGGACAGGGCTGCAGCGTTTCGTTATCGCATTGCTGACTACTGTTGCGATATATATGCTTATCTTGTCAAATTGTTCAGTTTTGAAATATTTGAAAAGGCACCGCTTGATTAGTGCAGATTAAAGACTGCTCACACTGACCCACACAATCAACTTGTCTTTGTACCGGTAGGCTCATTTACATTACCGATTGAACTCAAAAGTTTTGCTCATCGTGTTTCTTATTCTCAATAGCGTCAATTTCAAATTCTCTCAAATTTCAAATCAATAAGCATAGGTCTAACCAATCTGATCAAGGACAAAGGCCGAAAAAAGAAAAATCTCTGTTCCGACCCAATCTTTGTTGCTTCTCTTGATTCTCCGACACAGCCGATGCCATAACACTGTTCACGTATCCCTCGAACTACTGAGGTCAGTCTTGACAAATTCTTGACCAATTCGAGCTATCCGTGTTATACTGTATTTAATCATTTTTCAACAAACATTTTTCAACAAAATGAAAATGCCTAATTTTGACTTTCTACAGAGGATATACGTGACTAAAAACTGGTCAAATACAGAAAGTGTAGATCTCTCAGCTGTTAACATTACGAAATAAGTAAACACAGCTGTCTCCAGCTAAGATCCCACTTCTTATGAACCTGATCGTCTAAGATCCCGCTGATGTCAGAGACAGAATTTTTATAAACAAAAGTCACCCCTAAGTTCCTGCTCGGAAGGGCTACATTCGGCTGAGATTTTCCTTGCTTCAAAGCACCAGAATCTTAGGCAGAGACTACTGTACTAAAAGCCAAACATATTTATAATAATTATAATTGTATATCATATGTGGGTATCCCTACAGGTGAAAAAACTCACAACATTCAATGCCAAATGTCTCATCCAGCAGAGCTTCATATGTCATGGCTGAACACATTGGAGAAATCAAATCAACGTCTGTGAAGGTCAAGCAAGAAAAACAAGAACAAAATGAAAACGACTGATCATTTAGGACAAAAAATATTATGACACCACAAAATAATAATAATAATGATAATAATAATAAAAATAATAATAATAAATGACATTTATATAGCGCTCAACCCTGATTGAAATACACAGGCTCTGAGCACTTTACAACACAGTGCAACGTAAAACAGTAACATAAAACGTTGTGTTCTGACTAAATGAAAATCACTCCAAGTATTCCTCTAATTGATTTAAAAACATAAACGACTTCAGCCAACATTCGAATGAATCAAAAGATTTGATCTCTCTTAAAGTGCTTGGTAAAGCATTCCAGATCTTGGGGCCTTGGTATTCAAATGCCCTTTCACACATTGTTTTCAGTTTCATGGATGGTAAAATAAATTTCTTTTTGTCAGCTCATGACCTTAAACTGCGAGTTGGAATGTACAGTCTTAACAGATTTGAAAAATATGATGGTTCCTAAAATATACTGCATCTTATAATAATTAAAAATGAAATACATAGTACTTTATCTCTGCGTTTCTTGTCTTTACAAAGAAAGAGAATTGAAGTTAAAATATTAATAAAACCAGACTAACAACAATGAAGATAGCAACATGTTGGCTTTTTGTTTTTGTTTGTTTAAATAAGCATTTTCATAGACATAATTACTGAAATGATCAAACACAAAAGCACTATTGCAGCAGTGTATGTATTGGGGCCAACAAAACATTACCTCTGTCAACTATGAAAAGCTGCCCAACGTGAAACTTTGACTCTTTCCTGTCCACGTGAGCTTCAAACATGGACTGCATTAGCTCATAGGTCATCTAAAATGCAAGAACAAAAAGTCTGGAGAAACAATTTCCAAAAGACAGGTACAGACGTAAAAAAACAGCCTTCTCTGTATGGAGACTTTTTTCAGCTAACCAGTAGTAATGCCGTACAGTTTTAAAGAGATTTGTGATAGATTTAATTTTTAAGCTTATACCATACATGACACTTTATAATGTACAATACCAGTACTATCCTTTTCCCATTCAAAGTATGATCATATTAACAGAAAACATCAAGTTTTAACATGCATAATTCATTAGAAAAGGTATGTTAATTACCTTTTAAAAAATCACATTGTTGCCCTTTAAAGAAAAAAATCCAAAACGTAAATCAATGAAAATTATTCAAAACTCAAATCGTGCTTACCTTCGCTCCTTTCCCTATGGTGTAAACATTTGGTATTTTCCCAAACAATCGCTGAAGATTAACGAGAGATGATGCTACAGTGTGAAGATATGTTGTGTCATTTTCCTGGGAAAAAAAAATTAAAGTTAACAAATGAGGTCAGCTACACACATGAATATGTACATGGATGAAATGAAAGTCTTGAAAAGAAAAAACTAATTTATAGGGAAAATAGGGCATACAAACATTTAGTTATTTTAAATACAATTCAGCAATTCTTATTCATGACAAAATTAGCGGAGTATGAAAGCTAGACAACATTATTCACACAACCTTTAGCAACAACCTAAATTATAGATGTCTCAAATCAAATTGTTTTGCAAATGACTTATAGTAAATAAGTTTTTGCAGTGCTTGACCTAAACTTTCCTCACTCGACGTGTATATTAAGGCTTAAACATTATTCTTACAAGGTAAAAAGACTTGAAGAAATCTGGGGTCTCCAAAGATAACAGGTCAGTGTCCAGAGGGAACAATTCCAAGGGAAATTCATCCAGTGTGACATATCCCATCACACCCTCACTCTCTAGGATTTTCTCACAAATATGCAACTGTGGGAAAGAAAAGAGATTGAGAGTCATACTGCAGTTACGAAGACAGTGCACTTGAGATAGCTACAACTGAAAAGGTATGTGGCAGAATAAATCTTTAAAAAGTCCAGAAAACCTAATTAGCCCATGCCCCTTGCAACACTGAAATATATTCCATTGTATGACTACATGTGAGTGCGCCTAGAGAAAGGTACGGTACCAAAAGTTGCCCCAGACCGTTTCGAGCTACAGGCTGATAATGAAAAAACATCACACTTTTTTTTACCAAAATGTGTTTCCATAAAAGAAATTATAGATCTACCATTTTTTTACAATGTGCTCAAAGGGTTTTCATTGATTTGACTTCTAAATATTTTATTTTGAATTATTTTGAGGGTAGGGTATAATAAAAACAAATAATTAAAACTGCTTTTAAAAGGTGATAAAATCTATTCTTTGAGCACGTTTTCTCTTCCCTGCTATGTTTTACCATTGAATTCAGTTCATGATATTGATATCAACTGAATGCCAATATGGAAATGAATTTTCCGTGAATAAATACACTAAAAAATAGGTTTAAAAAAAGTTAGTATGTGTTCTCACGTTTGTTAAACTTAAATGCTCATTTTCTCAAAATTGTATCTTTACACCCAACCTAGCAAAATGTGCAATATTTCAAAAACTACTTGATATCTAAAAAATTCAAAGACCCGTGTTCAGCATTGAATTTCCTACAAGACCCATCCCTTAACTCAAAATTTGACTTTTGGTACCTTTCTTCAGGCACACACTCATATTTTAATATCACCTCAACCCTTTCCCTCCTGGTGTTGATATGCTGGCTTTGGTAAATGGCATGAATAAAGACCATCTGATGATATAGATCAGATTGCCTAGTGTGGTCTTTATAGTGTTTTATTTGTTTTCGTTCCTACATATCATGTGACCCTTAGAAGACTTCACAAACAAGAACAATCACTCGAACAAAATTGCATCGAAAAATAAGCGTCGTTCAGTGTGTATTGCCACTGAGTCATCAAGTTTTCTGTTTACAATATCCAACATCATACAAATAAATCCAGTACCTTTTTTCACAATTGGACTCAAAAGGATAATTCAAAAAGTGTCAAGCTAAAATAAAGATACATTTTTTAACAAATATAACATGAAACTATATGTGCATGTTCTCAATGTATCAACTAAGTAATGAATTTTAAAAAGCGACGTACTAAAACACATTAATAGAGGAAAAGTACTTACTCTTCTTGGGACAAAAACAATTTTGTATGCTCTTCTCTCTCCTTTACCCCTCTCAGTTTTGATATGATCAGCAATATATTTCATGGTAGTCATCTTGGGATGAACAAGATAAACTCGCCTGGAGACATAAGATAAAAGTAGCATTCAATTTAGGACAGGTTCTCTTTGTGACAAAATTTGGCCACATTTTATTTAGAACGAATCTCCGTGAAACAAACTTCAGTCTGTGTAAAAGGCAAAAGAGGTACTATAATAACTGTTTGATTAAGAGGGAAGCATATCAACCTAGTAACATAAAATAGAGTCGACAACGTAATATATTAGAAAAGCATGTACAACACAGGGAGAGGAGAGGCAGAATTTATCAATAACATCTTCCTACCATCCACTTCACTACATATAAAAAAAGTGTTTTATTTATATGTTTTCAAAATTTTTGTAGTTTAATGCACTCCTACTCTAACTAAATAAAAGCTAAATAATGTATTTCAAATAAAAGCTGAATTTACTTTGCAGAAACATTGGCAAGCTATATTATACAAGTGTCACCAAAGGCAGAATGCTAAAACACTGACTGGAATTGATATCAAATTATAATATAAGACGCAATCTAAGCAAGTTAAATGATCTACATTACACCAAAATGAAGTTTATTCTGGTGGAATGGAAGCACTCACTGTCCACAGCCAGGAAGGGCTTTTTGACCTGCCTCCAGTTTGAATATTTTGTCCACTCCATGTTCCTGAAAAAAAAAAAGATAAAATAAGGGGAAACATATCAGCAGAATTCCACCTATTCCCTTTCATCAACCGTATCATTGAAGCCCACAACAGGTGAATCTTCATACTCATCTTATGGACGAGAAGAAGAAGAAGAGTTGACTTAGTTCTATTCAGATTTTAATTATTTTTTAGCTATAAAAAAACTATATCAACATAGTAAAAGAATCTGTCAGCTTTAGAAACATGTCTTCTTTGGTTGAAACTTAATTGTACACTCATAAGCTCCATACATTTAAAAAAATGCTTCTACTGTCTGTTAGCAAGCCACAGTTCTCACCTTCAAAAAAGATATACCAGCCACTCTGTCTAATGGTTTGGTAAGGTCAGCATCAAGAACCAGATCCTTCGATTCAGGGATCTGAGAAAGAAAAATGATGATCGTAAAAAAATGAATGCATACAATAATGTAACCTATTACACACTGATAAGTAGGTAGGGGAACTAATATCCCAGCAAAATCTTATTTGAAAGTTCAAGATCATCCACCCACCAAGGCCTTACTGCACATTTTGAAGCTTATTCATTGTTGAGAACCATCCAAGACATTAAAAAATGAAGTTGCTAGCCATACCAAAAGGCTAAACTAGCAGGCTAGCTGTACAGAATACACAGGTCTCATTAGTAATTATTCAGGTTTAAAATACATGCACTGTCAGTAGGGCACCTTTTAGTTTCATCTCAAATACAAATGCTTTAGGTATTGCAAACTAAAAATTTGTATATAATTCAGTAGGCCTATTTTTTGCTGTTTGTCAGTCTAGCCATCATTATTAAACCGTCTACCCGTCATTAAGTACGGTTAGCCTAGCGGTCTTTTTTTTTTTTTACTCCTGTCACGCCATCTGGTGTTTAGGGCAGCAACAAAGGATCTCCAGCTCTGTCTGTTTTGGGCCATCTTGGTCAACGTCCCCCACGAATCGTTCCAGGACTTCATTTCAGACTGTACTGTGTGTCTCCACGTCACTTTGGGTCTGCCCCTCTTGTGAAGACCTTCGGATGTCCAGTGAAGGGCAGTCTTTACAATCAGAGTCTGGTTCTCATCTCAGAACATGCCCAATCCATCTCAATCTTCTCCTTGTTATTATGGTGGTCATGTCCTCTTGTCTACATTTCCGTAAAAGCTCTATGTTGGAAATCTTGTCGAGCCAGAAAATTCCGGAGGATTTGGTGTAAGCTGGTTGTATGAAAAGAAGATAGCTTGGAATGATCATGATCAGTCATCCTCCAGCATTCAGATCCATATAGGAAGCCTAGCAGTCTAGTTGTCATTAAGTACGACTAGCCTCTTCCTTAAAAAATCCCACACACATACATGAAAAAAAAAGCATCTTCACTGAGACAGAAACACTCACAGACACAAGCAGATGTGCCAACTGTGTTTTCAGCAGCTTGCTTAGTTCTTGCAAATCCATCAGGAAATCATTGAGCCTGTCAGAACCACAGGTGTATCATCCAATGTTTACTAAAAGCCAAGTCTTTTCTAAAGTAGTGAAGTAAAATTTTCCAAGTTCATAACCTGAAACAAAAAGGGGAAAAACATAAAAGTTAACCTTAAATAAAACCGAATGGCATATATACTACGACATCAAAATAATCTTCCCTTTTCACACGGTAAGAGAATTGCTTTGGTCAATCATGCATATATATAAAAAATCCACCTAGCTAAAGTAGCTTAATAAACCAAAACTTTTGTTACAATAAAGTAAAATGTAAAATCAATCTAGCACCACGTAGGGAAAAAATTTTCTGGTCCCATATATTTATTTTCTTAGTCAAACCTTGTTTGGATTTGGGGGGGGGGGTTACAACGAAGTTTGATTGTACTTGTATTATTTTCTAAAAAAACAAAGATTTCTGGGTCCCGCCAATTCTGCTATGTGAAGTGTGTGCATGCTAAACAATAGCAGCAGGCTATACATTGTCTCTCTCTATATCCAACTCAATTTCTGTCTTATTTGATTCAATGACGTCTTTTTTCTTATCAGGGGAATGAATCAGCGCTTTTTCCGTAGTTCCCACTCCCCTTATTTTGGCATATTTTATTCGAAATGTGCAAAATTGAGCTCGATTTAGCATTCGAGCAATAGACTAGTTCTAGGTAAAAGTACTAGATCTAGATCAAGGTAATTGATTTGTCAAATGAAGTGGCTATTCAGACTCGAGTCTGAATAGCCTCCCGTGGCTATTCGGATTCAAACTCCAATGTGCAGTATGGTATTGTATTGTCCTGATTTTATTTGTACATTATGTAAAGTATGCTGTTGGAATAGCTTTTCCTTTAGACCACTGTTACTTTGAATGACTGACTTTAGTTCCCTTTGAAAGGGTTTTAACTTTTCTCTTCTTAATTCCTGACTGGACTTCCAATTGATCAATAATTTTTGTCTTTCTCGTCAAATGTAGTGGGTTCAGACTACTTATTGATAGAGTTATAATCCTTTGTTGTTCTGAAACTTTTTTTCACCGCTTTGATCTCAGTTTGTCATTTCCCTGTTTGCATTTGTTGAGTAGTATTTCAGATATGGCAACTGTTGTTCACTTTTGACGTCATTAATACTTTACTTTACCTACTTATACTTTTTCATCTTCTGTAGCCGTTAAGTGTCGAGGGGAGATGCAGTTTTCTATGGTAGGCCAGCTCCGCAGCTCTTTCAGTTGTGATGTAATGTTTTCTTAGGGTTTCCTTGACACCCTCGATTCACCTTTTGCGTGGCCTTCCTCTTCCTTTGTAGCCTGAGCGCTTGGTGTTGTAAGCTCTCGAGGCTGGCTGGTCAGGTGACATGTGTAACAGGGAGCCAAATCATTTTATCCTCTGTCTTTCTATATAATGCAGGCAGCACTCAGTGCCGATAGCTGCTCTTACGTCTTCATTTCTCAACCTATCTCGTCTTGTAATGTTAAGGATTTTGCAGAGACATCTACGAACTTTTTAAAATTTGTGTCGAAAATTTTGGCCAGATCTTAGAAATCGAGGAAGGCCAAGGTCAAATTGCCTGTCCGCTTCACATCCGGTACCCGTTGATTGCACACACACATTGGAGTTTAGAGTCCCAATATAGCCACCGGAGGCTATTCAGACTCGAGTCCGAATAGCCGCGGCCTTTGTCAAAATAACATAATAAACGCAATGACAGCCTAGGGTTGTTAATTGCAAACAAGAAGTGAGTCTGGGAGATTGACTGTTGTCAAAACTGTCGCCATATTGTTTTGGTCGGATGTGGAAGTACAATTTGGCCAACTGTTCTTCAATAAACAGTACTGCCAAGTTGGAAAGTGAACCATTTTCCAGGCCATTTACTGTTACAAAGAAGCGTTTAATTCAAGTAATTTTCATTCATGTATACATAAGGAGATTCATTACTCGAAATATCTTCAAATATTCAATTTAAGTCGATATCAGTAAAGTTTTAACTTGATTACATTCCCGAAACAGGAAAATAGGCAAATAATAATTGGGGGGGGGGGGGGGGGAACTACCGAAAAAGCGCCAAGGCCAGTTAATGAGTTTTATAAATGAATCTAAAAAGGAACACTCCTCATCGTATTCATCATCATGAAGTGAGAGATCTGAAATGGACATTGGTGATCTTTAGAGTACACTGTCACAGTCACAGATATACAGTTGATCGGCAAGCAGTGATCAAAATTTCACACCTCTCAATTGCTATCCTGTCTGAAAATGATATGCGTCAGTCTTACTTATCCAATTACCAACAGTGCTTGCCGTTCATAAGACCACTGCTTGACCATTTAAAATTAAGAACAGAAACGTTTGAACATCTCCTTTGCTTCCAACCTTAGCCCCACCCATCAATGCCACCCCTCACTGCCATCATTGTAACAAACGAATCGAGGAACTCTTTTCTCGGCTGGGCGTAGGATCGGGGCGGCAGGCATTGGTCAATCTAATTTCCCACCTCTGGCTTCTGGCTACCCAGGAAAGTTTCCGTAGTGGCTCGCTACTTGAGCCCTCTCAGTCTCACGGGCAGTCGTGAGATTTCACACCCACACTACACTGACCATCTGCATCGCTCAGGGCTCACATGATGGGGTAACATCTACCCCCAAATTGGACCCCTACTCCCCTTCCTCGCCCAGTGGCATAGCCATAGCATTAAGTTTAGAGCCGGCGGAACCAAACTTGCGAGTTTTATTTCAAATCAGGGCTGAGCGGACAAAGCATTTTCCGTCATAAACAGGTGAAACCCTCAGAAGGGAGCGAATTTTTCTTTCCGTTTCTGCGTTGGACAGGTTTCCGTTTTATACCGGTAATTAAAGAGGAATATATGAAGGGGGGAGCGGGGAGATTCCGTTCAGGCAGGTTTCCGTTTTATACAGGTTTCTGTTAAGGCAGGTTCAACTGTATAGGCCTATATCTACATTTATAAATCTAGCAAACAAAACAAAATTGTCACTGAGGATGTTAACATTGCGGGTGACACGTAGGCATCAGTGCCTTGCTGTAGTAGTAGTGTATCAAAGGTTGTCATTATTCTCACCCGAGGTGAAAATACCAATAATATCCATTGTATTCTCACCCGGGGTGAGAATAATATTATATATATTTTGGTATTCTCACCCCGGGTGAGAATAAAATGAATATTATTCTCACCCGGTCTGAGAATGCAATGGATTTTTAGGTCTACCTGGGTGTTGAGAACGGATGTAGAAAATAATTTGTGAATTGTAAGAGAGTGGCCGTTCGTGACCTGCCCCAGATAGCGCTGGCCGATTTTTCTAGGCTCCCGCGGGGATTGTTATTGTTTCATTTTTTAAAAATCTTGAGTTGAGAGCATGCACGCATGTCTTCACCAAAACCCTAGACAAGTGTAAATATATTCTAAATTCAGAAAGGAATTCACTTGCCAGAGTAGTATGTTTTTAAAAATAATAGCCTTTAACTGAAAGCTGTTTAATGAAATAATAGTAATAGTTTGTCATTTGTAATGTTAGAATTGGCATTTGTTTTCAACACAAAAAACATGTTTAATTGTTATCCCTAGCAGAACCCACGATTATTTTTAAGGAATGCAGTGCCTTGACCCTAGGCTTATTTTTTTCTTAATTTTGATTGGTTGTAAAACCATTCAAGAGTAAAATTTTCCATTATAGAACCAATAAATTAATACTGTAGCAACAAAAGGTGACACTATTTGGTCAAAAGATAAGGTTTTTCCCCAAATCGACAATAGTCGCCTCTCGCGCCCGAGAGCTGGCCCGCCCGTTCTCAATTTTAGTCACCGCGCTCAGTGGAGTGAGAGAGGGATGGAGGCGAGTTTGGTCGCCTGGAGTGCTCAGTGACAGGGGTCCTATGATGCCCGAAATGAAAAAAGCGGGTGAGAATAGTAGGCTGTCGTTATTCTCACCCGGGGTGAAAATAACTAGATCTAGAAATCTAGATCTAGTATGAAATTTTATTCTCACCCGGCGTGAGAATAATATCCAGTTTATCCTCACCTCAGGTGCGAATAATCACTGTGGTATTAAAAGTTATCAATTATTCAAGTAGGCCTAATTATACTAATAATAGTCGAGAGGTTCAGAGCTGATTTGTTGTACTAAAACCAAAAGTTGTCAACAAGAGCAGGGGTCCTGTAATCCTGTACAAATAATGGGCCGTGCCGTGGTTGTGGGAGGGGCAACTTAGTTTTAGTTTTATGAGAGAGCAAGAACACCAGGGATCAGGCCAGGTCAAATAAGCATTTAAAATGTTTTAATCTACTAAACAACTCTTTACTTTACTAAACTAGATCTAGAGTATAGATCTAGATCTAGATAGATCTAGAATCTATATCTAGATCTAGAGGTCTAGATCTAGTCCAATCTAGAGCTAGAATCTAGATTCTAGAGTCTAGTTTTAGTCGGGAACAACGTAAATTCATCTTTTTCAGCCGGTTTTGACTTTGAAAAAACCCAGCCAAACGAGCAATTCCAGCTACAATATTCAGAGTGAAGCCATCATAGATCTAGAAGATATCTATAAAAATAAGCTTACGTGATGATGTTATGTTATGATCGAGTGTTGAGGAAGAAAAACAAAAAGCTCACTCACTAAACCTCTAGCCCTAGCATTGAGATCTAAGCTTAGCCGCACTTAGCAGCGGAGATAGCAGGCAGTTTTAGCTGTCATGTTTAGAGTCTTCAAGAGACAGGTAATTCAGAGTTGTGCAGACTGAGATTATATAAATACAGAATCAAATTGACAGTAAGTAAAAAGGCGCAAACGAACCTTTATTCATTTTATATAAATTACCTAGATCTAGTTTTCGTCCACACAAAAAAGAAGCAAGCAATAGTGATTTATCCTGAGTGAAAGAAATCTTGTTTCAAAACAAAATTGTTTATCAGGCATATCTTTGGTTTGTTCTTCAAGGAGGAGGAATAATTAAAACACGTTTTTGCCAGCTTGTCCATTTTATTCCTGCATATTTCACTTATTTGATTTTATGGATTGTTGGCACTAATTGTTAACAGAAGTAACGTGTTACAAATTTTTGGACTAGATCTAATGTTTTCAGTGTAAAAGAGTAGCAAGAACTAATAAATCTTATCTCAATTCTTACTGATAGCAGAACGTTATGGGGCGTCTTCGGTAACTTGCTTCTTTCCATCACTTTACTCAATTATCTGGCCATATTTAGCGGCGAATTCAATTTCAAAATGGAGACGACAACAAAACACTTGTCTAGTATAAGAAGGTAGATCTTTATTCGCGATTTCCCGTGTATTATAATCTATATCGTCTTAATTGAAACAGACGAATCCCACAACGGCTGGATTGAACTTTGGTGGACCCACTGTGTTTACCTGTATTAATGCGCACTAGCTAGATTCTAGACTAGAATTATGCTACTGAGGCCACCTCAGTATTCTGGCCGGCCACCTCTATTCTCACCCGGAGTGAGAATAGTGCAGGCGAGTCTTGTGGCTATTCTCACCCGGTGCGCGTTCACCAAATTTTGCGTTCACCCTAAACCATAGAATTCTACACTGTGAGGAAAAATTGTAGAAAACTGTGCCGTGAACAAACGTTCCATTTCAACTATAGCCTACTAAAAGCGTACAATTTTGTCTGTGGGCAGTGGAGAGAGAGAGAGAAAGAGAGAGAGGAGTAGCTCGAGAATTTCCGGGCAAAACAAAATGGCGACCCGCGTAGTTCGGCTCGATTCGAAAAGTTAAATAGCAGTAGCATCTTTGTAGACAACCAAATTAATTTACTTTTGTGTTTTAACATAATTTTTTAACTTTGTTTTGGTCAATTTGATCGTCCACACCGATGATAGACAGTATTCAGAAAGAGACAGAGAGAGAAAGAAGAGGGGAAGAGTTGATCTTGCGAGAACTTCCGGGCGGGTGAGAATAGCCACTTTCATTCTGGCCACCTCTATTCTCAGTGAGAATAGCGCAGGCGAGTCTTTTGGCTATTCTCACCCGATGGGCGTTCAGCCTAGGCCAACCAGTGAAGCGTTCACCCTGAACCACAGAATTCTACACTGTGATAACAGAATTATAGAATTCTGTGCTGTGAACAAACGTTCTAAATCTAATCTAGAAATCTAGATTAGTAATAGATCTAGATCTAGATATATATCTAGATCTAAATCTAGATCTACTACTACTGTTACTGTTACTACTGTTAGTGTTAGCCTAAAACTAAAAGGTAGCGTCAATTGCCACCGAGTGACGCGGTGGCAATTGACAAAAATGGACTTTGGTATTTTTTTACTTTCCCTCCCGTCTCACACTCAGCTACCAGTTGTCCATTTTCTACTAAATATTGATGCGCTGAACACGAATATCAACTTCATTTCCGTCGCAAATTAATGGTTTTTGAAATATTTGATTGTTTTTAACCGAGATAGACATGCTTTGGACCAATCGGGGGGTTCCAGGGGGGGCCTGCCCCACTGGGGTAAAAGAAAATCTGGGGGGTTACAGGGGGGCATGCCCCCCTGTTTTTACACCCATAATTTGATATTTTACAGTTAGATTTGAAATTGTCTTGAAAATAATTGATTTGCGACAGTTTTAGTGGCTTTATGTGTGATCTGCAGCAAACAGTACAGCAGTTTGACCCCTGAAACAGTGCATTTGTGTGCGGGAGTGAAAGTAAAAATTTACCTGGACTTTTTGTCAATTGCCAGCGAGTGAAGCGGTGTCAAGTCTGAAAGGCCACCTCTATTCTCACCCGGGATGAGAATAGTGCAGGCGAGTCTTTTGGCTATTCTCACCCGGTGCGCGTTCACCGTTATAGCCTAGATCTAGGCCAACAAATTTTGCGTCCACCCTAAACCACAGAATTCTACACTGTGATAACAGAAAAATTGTAGAATTCTGGGCGGAAATTCTGTGCCGTGAACAAACGTTCCATTACAACTGTAGCCTACTAAAAGTAAAAGCGTACAATTTTGTCTGTGGGCAGTGGAAAGAGAGAGAGAGAGGAGTAGCGCGAGAACTTCCGGTCAAAACAAAATGGCGACCCGCGTAGTTCGGCTCGATTCGAAAAGTTAAATAGCCGTAGCATCTTTTTTGTAGACAACCAAATTAATTTACTTTTGTGTTTTAACATCATTTTTTAACTTTGTTTTGGTCAATTTGATCGTCCACACCGATAGACAGTATTCAGAAAGAGACAGAGAGAGAGAGAGAGGGGAGGAGTAGATCTTGCGAGAACTTCCGGGCAAAACAAAATGGCGACCCGCGTAGTTCGGCTCGATTCGAACAGTGAAATAGCCATAGCATCTTTGAAGACTATCAAATTAGCTTACTTTTGTGCTATAACGTAATTTTTTCTTGGCTTTTATCAATTTGATCATCCACACCGATAGACAGTATTCCAAAATGAGGAAAAGCAGGTCTTGTTTCGCACCGGGTGAGAATAGCCTACGCTGGCAAGTCTCACCAGGGGTGAGAGGTAGATCGTTTTTCTATTCTCACCCCGGATGAGAATAGCCACTTCCAGTCTGAAAACGGGACTAGTCGACTTGTGATGTCCCGGCCCAGGGGGCGGCCATTTTGGCAAAATCAGTCAGGGAATCTCCAGATTGGGCCGTTTTTCGCTGGTTTTGGCCCCGAGAGTAGGCTTGGAGAGTAGGCTTGGGGGGTTTCAGGACGAAATAAAAATATAGAGGGGGGTTCGGGGGGGCCTGCCCCCCTGAATTTTATCATAAAATGATGTTTTGCAGATAGGTTTGATATCTCTCGCTCGTCGAGCATCAAACATAGCCTATAATAGATCTAGATCAAGGCTCAAATAAGCGGGGTGGGAACTGCCGAAAATGCGCGCCCAATCTGGAGATCCCCTGACAGATTTAGCCAAAATGGCCGCCCCCTGAGTGGGGACATCACAACTCGACTCACTAGTGCCCTGAAAACAACACTATCTTTAGCATTATAATAATGTGTGTCCAATGGGTCAATTTGTTCTCAACTAATTTCATTGGACGAGCATCTAGTCAAGAGCTACGGTACCAACTTGGCGTGTTTTCAATAAGACGTATCTAGATTTAGATCTAGATCTAGGATAGCCTTAGCCTACACTGTGGTGAAGAGCGAACACAGGCAATTCTAGAAGTAGGCCTAGAAGGTCACAAACGCACACAAACTCAAGCAGAAATTCACGTTATATCGGGGAACATAAATCGGGGGGCGGGGGTCAGGAAAACACACACACACACACACACAGAGAGAGAGGCGAACGCACAACATAGAGCACTCGAGCACAAAAAAAGCTAGATCTACCCACCAACGCAAAAGAGCTCCAATTTACTCGGTGGCAATTGACAAAAAGTCAATTTTTGTCAATTGCCACCGCGTCACTCGGTGGCAATTGACACTACCAAAACTAAAAGCGTGCAATCTTGTCTGTGGGCAGTGGAGAGAGAGAGGAGTAGCGCGAGAACTTCCAGTCAAAACAAAATGGCGACCCGCGTAGTTCGGCTCGATTCGGAAAGTTAAATAGCCGTAGCATCTTTGTAGACAACCAAATTAATTTAGTTTTGTTTTTTAACTTTGTTTTGGTCAATTTGATCATCCACACCGATAGACAGTATTCAGAAAGAGAGAGAGGGGAGGAGTAGATATTGCGAGAACTTCCGGGCAAAACAAAATGGCGACCCGCGTAGTTCGGCTCGATTCGAAAAGTGAAATAGCCATACGAAGCCTATTCATGAAAAAATGTTATTCGGACTCTGATTCTTGTCCAGCATGACATCACTTCCGACTACCGACTTCCTGTGACTCGTGAATCCGGCTTCCTTTCCTGCCTCACTCGTGACTCGCCTCAGGCTGGGTAGAGACCGGGATCACTTCGGGTTAAAAGGTGTTTTGTGCAGGAGCCGAGTTTTAATCTTATGATGAATTTGAGGCCGGCTTGAAAAGTTATTCTCGCGCTTCTAATAAATGTTTATTTGTCAAGAGGTCATCAGAAGCAATTAAAGATGGCTTGTTAGCGTGTGTCGGGGTCGGATGGGCGGCCTGCACACATGTGGCTATGTGCGTGTCGGGGAGGGGGGTGGGGGGGGGCACTATCGGTACGGGCGTTGAACGTCACATACGCGTCAGTCTTTTTCCCCCCGGCAACTGATCATATTACAATAATAAGCTAGTCTTGACGTAGATCTACATAATGAATTGTGCCCTGGTCTATGGAATCAAAAGTTGCCGTATTATGCTCAGCTCTACACAGCAACACAACTTTTTCTTGGTAAACAATCGATTTGACACAGGCTTTGTATTTGAATGAATCGGTCTTTTTTTTTTTACACAGCTCATAATATGCAGGTGCCAGGTGGTCTGCTATCTTCAATTTTACCTTTTTCTGCAACAAAGAAAGTGGGACACATGGGGGATGGGGGTGGGGCGTATCAATGAGGCGGCGGGCATCGGATCGGCAGATAACGTGTGGGGGAAACTAAAAAATGGCGGAAAATTGGAAGCACTGAACGTTAGATCTATAGAATGAAGACACTTCCTTTTTTCCGGTCCCGAGTCTGAATAAGAATTTTTGTTATTTGGACTCGAGTCCGAATATGAAAAAATGTTATTCGGACTCGAGTCCGAATAACGACGGCCATAGCTTTATAGGCATCTTTGAAGACGATCAAATTAGCTTACTTTTGTGCTATAATAACATAATTTTTTCTTGGCTTTTATCAATTTGATCA